TCAGCAGGACACCGAGTTGTCCAAAAGGATTCACTGCTTAGTTTGGCAGGCAGGGAGTGCCAGGAGTGTTAATGGGACTGGGGAGGAATGGGAGCTACGGAGGGGTCGGGGGTGGCCTTTCTGGGAGACTCCCTCACTTGCGTTATTCCCAGGGGTGATGCCGAAGTCCGATCGGCCCGTGGGGGGGTTTTCAGACAGAATTCCTACTGCAGTGACTCCTGTCCTGTGCAAGGTGTTTCTCGAGGTGGAAAAAGCCCTTCTCTGCGTTAGAACCTGCTTCCAGAGCCGTCAACGAAGCCTGCGATGGGTGCTCACGGTGCCAGCAAGCCCTGTGGTGCCGCAATCCGGCACGACGGCACACGCACACTCATCCCTCCCCTTGCTGACCTGAGACACGACCGCGCTGCTGGCAGTGCCCAGGGACCGAGAGGGCGGCAGTCCCGGGGGTCTGCTCCTGTCCCCTGCCCTTCTCCCCTGTGAACAGATCAGGCTGCAAAGATGAGGAAGCAAAAGGAGCCAGGGAGTGTCACACGCTGAAAAGAACCTCATGGCACCGTGCTGACAGGGGTCTGGGAAAGGTTGGGCTCTGCCCAGAGGTTGCCCATAGGGAAGGGAAGGGTCGGGCCATGGGCGAAGCTGAACACAGACGGCAGGGCACGCTGGCAGCCTGCCCACGGGAGCGATGCGGAGCCAGAGGGCTGCCCAGTTCCTCCGGAGCACGACAGCCCCTCGCCCCCACACACGCACACACCCAGGCAAACCCTGCCGTGATGCCCTCCTCCAGGCGAGGATCTGCCCTCGCTCCCACCGATCACCCCCAGCAGGGAGCGCGGGGTTGTTTCAGCGCTGCCCACGCACGGCTCCCCGCTCACACCGTCACCTCTGCGCAGCCCGGAGAGCCTGACCCGTCCGTACCTCCGGCTCCTCCCGAGATGGCAGCAGTGCCCATGTGCTCACCCCTGCACGGGGAGGGAAGAACAAGGTGAGCGTCGGTGCGGGGAGCAATCCTGCCGGGCTGGTTCCCATCCGTCTCTGTCACAAAGGCCAAAAGCATCAGAGGACGCAGCAAGGATAAAAAATAATCTCCAGACAGGTCGTTTCTGGCCACGTCCTTCCATCAAACGTCGCCCCTTCCTGCCAGGGAAGGCCGTTCCTCCGGCTTCAGGGGAAGATCTGCAGCTCGAACTTGGGCGCCCACTCCAGCGCGCTCTTCACCACGGCCAGGGCAGCTGCTTCAGCCCCATCACCGCCAGCTTGACAAAGCGGTTGGTCCTCGGCTTTGTCAAGATGGATTTTGTCCGCTCCTCCCCTCGGAGCCGCTCCCTGAAGCGCTGCCTCAACACAGTGTCCGGTCTCTGCTGCACTGACGCCAGCTCAAAGTCCTTAAAAGTGGAAGCCGCAGTTCTGCAAGAGAAGAAAGGGGTTAAGGAATGTCTCCGGCTCGCCGCTGGGACCAGCCTCCCGCCAGGAAGATCTTCACATGGAAGCAAGACCTGGCAAGGGGACGTACGCAACACTCACCGGTCGGCTTGCTGCTGAGCTGCCTCCTTGGCGAGTTCAGACGGTGGAAACTGGACGAAAAGGTCCCCAGCTTTGCTGATGAGAGTCTCGTAAGGAAGGTCCTGCGGGATCTGGGACAGGAGGTGGTGGACAGAGGCCATGTCGCATTCGCAGTCCAGAACTTCCTGCTCCCGGTGCAGCACGATCTGCAGAGAGGAGGGAGAGCCCTGAGGACAGCCAGGAACGCGAGGACGACTCCTCGGCACGCGCTGGCACTGGCTTCAGAGCCCAAAGGGAAAAACATTCCACTTCCAGCCGAAAGACCTGCCCTTCCTCAAGGGGACACACCACAGCAAAGCACTCCCTGCCTGGGAGAAGAAATGCCAAACCCTTCCCGAGACTCCGAGGCCGTGGAAAGCCCCTTCCTGGGCAGTTATGTCTGTGTTCTGAGCAGAGCCGGCTACTGGCAGCTCGGAGACGTGGGCAGAACCCCAGCAGGGCTTGATTCCGCAGCTCGCCCTCAAACAGAGGGCACTGGCTAAAACCAGGACAAGAGGTTTGCCAGGGACAGCAGCAGCACTGTGTGTGCCAGGCCCCCTCTGCAGCCACCGGCACCCCGCGGTGGTTCAGTTAACCCCTCCGCCACTCTGGCCAATACCTACCACCGCAGCAAAATAAATGGGCATCAGCGGATGGCAAGCCAGGAAGAAGTCGTATAATCGCACGACGTGCCTGAAGTCGGACAAAACGTGCCCGAACCAGGTGATCAGCCAGCTGAGAGCAAAGATGGTTCCCACCTCCGCACTGCACAGAGAGAAAGCCCCGTTAGATCAGGCACTGCCAGCAGCTGGGACACAGTGCTGAAACGCTCCTGGGCGACCCCTGCACCGCACCTCCACGCTGGGAAGGGGAGACTATCATAGAATCATAGAATCATAGAATGGTTAGGGCTGGAAGGGACCTTCAAAGGTCATCTAGTCCAACCCCCCCTGGCTTGGAACGTCTCCAGGGATGGAGCATCCACCACCTCTCTGGGCAACCTGTTCCAGTGTTCTACCACATTCAGAGCTCAGTCCATATCCACGACCTGCACCTCTGATAGAACCCCAAAGCCAAGCACTACTCGTCTCGCATCCAGCAGGGTCCAAACGGCCTCTTTCAGGAGAACCTGAACATTTGGTGTATCATGTCACTGTCTGACACGTTGACCTGGGGACACCTGAAATCTGGCAGCACAGTCAACTTTTCAGATTCCTGTCTGCCCTAAAGGCTTACTAACTTCTGGGAGTCTGCAATCAAGCTCGGTACCCAAAGACCAAAGGCCATGAAATGTAACAGAGACACTTGCCCAGAAAAGGACTCTGGACTGAACCTTCCCACTTACCTTCCTGCTTCTGCATCAGTCTGCCTGGGCTACACATGTGTGTCCCTATCGCAAAACCCAGGAATTATCCCCAGAACTAGCAACAAACTACAGCAAGGTGACGCCAGCCACAAAACCGGACACGTGAAGCAGTTTTGGCAGCTTTGCGTGACACCGTGCACAAACCCTCAGCCTTTCCAGTACGGACTGGAGGCCACTGGGGTGAAGATGGCACCAGGTAAAACTCCTCAAGACAGGCAGTGTAGGTTTGGGTCTGGTCAGAAGCAAGAGTGCCACATGGCTTTGGGGTGTCACCGTCAGCTGAGGGTCAGCTCTTGGCTCACTCTGAGGAAGCCACAGCAGCGCTGGGCACATGCTGGTGCAAACGGCCCTGTGACCAGTAACACCAGGCTGGCAGGGGAGAGCTAGGAGGCTGCGAGGGAACGTCTGCATACCTCTGCATGAAGTCATGCACCTCAGGGTTCACCTGGTCTATGATGGGCATCAGGTAATTTAAAATGTGCTTGGTATTATCCATCGTCGGGTCCATAAAATCCCTGAGGAAAGATTGAAAAGAGGCTCTGTCAAGCAACCACATCAGCGAGCCCCGCTGCAGGGAGGCAGCCAGAAGGGAAAAAAAACACACTTGCAAGGAACAGCTTTGCTGGCAGGGTGGCCCCCAGGAATTCTGTCTGTTCAGGACAGCCCCCCTTCCTCCCCATCTGGGACACGCAGGGCTGGTCTGCGCAGAGAACCCAGTCCCAGACCACCCCGCCGCTGTCAGCTGACACTTATTTTGCTGCAGCGCATGCGTGAGCCCTAAAGCCTCTCCAGCACCCAAAACCTAACTCCTCGGCTGGGAGAGGAGGCAGAATTCCTCCAAACCACTCCCCAGCTGGAGGACTGTTCTCAGTTCGGTGCACGAACAGGAGTGGCGCTGGACTGGGGGCTCAGGACACCGGCTGTGCAGAGCACCCTCCCGGTGCAAAGCTGCGCAGGGCTGTGCAAGGCGAGGGGGGGCACCGTGCTGGGCCAGCCCCCGGGAGCTGGAGAGGCCCCGACAGCAGAGATGGCCAGAGAACCACGAATAATGCACCACTGGGCTTCCGCAGCTTCCAGAGATGCTACAAATTAACGGACAGCCTTTAATTATCCCTTCCCCAGAGCACAGCTCCCTGCAAAGCCACCTGCTACCGTGTGGTCACCCCACAGCACCCCTCGGGGTACGGGGATGACGGGCAGCCTTAACCCAAGGCTCTGCCTTCCAGGCTCTCCATCCAGGCCAGCCCCATCTGCACAGCTGTCCCCACAGCTCGAGGACACGCACGGCTCCTCTCCTCCAGCCGAGCCCGCTGACTACCTGAGATGATGCGTCGAGAGCTTTTCCACCAGAGCCGTGGCCAGTCGGTCCCCCACCACCAGGAGGAAGGTGACCACGATGTCGTGGTAGCCCTGGTAGTAGTGCAGCTGGGGGTTGCGCTTGAGGACGTGGAGGATAATATCGATGAGCTCCTCTTGCAACCCTTCCCTCTGGTCATCCGGCATCCCTGTGGGGACAGCACCAGGCGGCGGTGGGACGCGCCGTGGCACCGACCGGTGCCTGCCACGGTATGCAAGGAGAGGACCCAACCTGCTCGATCCCAAAGGATGCAGTGCAAAAGGGAGGGGAGTAAAACTAGCAGAAAAAGGATCCTGAGTCCTACTCCTGTCCCCTAAAACGCTGAGGGCCCAGGGGAAGGCCAGGGTGTTCAGATTTCGGAGCTGTGGTGCCCCTGCCAGCGAGGCAGCCCCGCGGAGGACAGGAGCAGGGTTTACTGGTGTTTGCACAGCACTGCACATCAAGGACATTTTAATAATTTCTAATTTCCCAGGGGCTTCTAGAAAAAACTAAACCGGATCCATTTTCACAGAAACTGTGCCAAGCACGTCAGATTGCGAGGTCTCCATCGCCACGGCTTTGTCTCGGTCCCCTGCTAACGACACGTGTTTAGGGACAGGATGTCACCGGAAAAACATTGTTCCTGCCACGCCAGCTGCGGCCAGTTTCCGGCAGTCCTTGTCGACAGATAAAACGCCCAAAGGCCAAGCAGAAAGTCCCAGTGGGGATCCTGCAATGACAAAGTTCTCCTTTTCCCCTGCTTCACTGCTGCTTCTAAAAATAGGCAGGAGGCTGCCACTCAAGGGCAAAAAAATCCCTTCCAGCAGACCCTTCAGGAATCACACGCAGCACCCGCGCTCGAAAGAGAATCAAAGTGGATCAAGTGTTTACACAACACAAAAGAGCAGAAGGGGGAAGCAGATTCTGGCCAGAAATAACGACCTCTCTGCAGAGTCAGGCAGCTGCTGGATTAAATGTTTTGTAAACAGCACAAGGCACCAGCCGCCCATCAGAACTGCAAAAAACATTTTTCTCCTGAAGGTTCACAGTTCTCCAAAATTTGGTGCATGAACCAGATTTGGAGACTGTTGGACACCAGAAATTGTTCTGGTTTTAAAAACTTCCCGCCACGCCCCTGAGCTACACCAGGGTCTAAAACAAACCGAAGCAAACGGTGCATTTCTCAAACGCTCCGTCTGTCCTGATCTCACCCTGGTCACAACAGGTGGGGGGGGTGCAGGATCCGGGCCCCTCTGTGCTCCAACTGTCGGACGGCACCGGGCAGAGGGGCTCAGCAGGGCAGGGGGAAGCGTAGCGCTGGAAGAATCCCACCAAAACTCAGCTGCAGCACAGGCAGCTGACGGACACCGCGCTGCAGAACGGCTCCGCTGCACGAGGACGCTGCTGCGAGCTCACAAGGAAAAGACTTTCTAGAAGTCAGGCTCTCGGAGCAACGGAGCATCACCTGCTGCAACCCCCTTGAGTGAGGTGGGAGCCAGGAGGAGCCCCACGACA